TCAGAGGTTTTCAGAGTTCTCCTTAACTCTAATCCATCCTTGGATTATTTGATTATTAAAGGAATTAGGCCAGACATTTTCGAACTTATTCTGGACTCAGTTTACAAAAGACTGAACAGAATAAATACAGACAACATGATAGATCTTTGGTATGCTGCCAATCAACTTGAAATAAGATTTCTACTTGAAGAAATTGAAAACTTCATCATTTTAAATATATCTGTTGATAATTACTTGCACATCTTTGATGTTGCTCATGATCTAAAAGCTGATCGAGTTTTTACAGGCGTATGTCAGGCATTTATTGTGAACTGGGAGAAGTTTAGACAAGATCAAAGATTCCTAACTTTATCATGTGAAGAATTTCAGACCATTATTCAAAATGCAAATACTATTTCCTCTGATGAGTTGGTAGAATCCATTCTTATGTGGACAAATTACGAGTCTAAAGTTCGAATAAGAAACTATATTCAAAACTTGCCATTCACTATAGAAATTGACAATGCAAATAAATTTGTGGAGGTTACATTGAAGAGTAAAGTTAACCTTGACATAAGTGATGGAATAGTTAACTATGAACACACAAGCATCAATAGAAAGGAATTAATTGGTAAACTTCTCAAAACCGTCAAGCTTGATCTCATTAGCCAGCAAGGTCTTAAAAAATTGTTGTTTGATGATGCAGTCATGGATTGCAAGGAAGCACGTGATCTAGTACGTCAGGCTTTAACGTCTAGTCTAGATCGTTCAGCTGTTACAGTCTTAGTTACAGAGACTACCCAATCGAATGATTCAATAGTAGCGGCTACTTACAAGGCAAAAGATGATGACCTAGTGCCAAGTGCAGTGGCGTAGCGAAGGTGTTTGGCGCCCGGGGACAAAATTCGCGCCCGGGGACAAGATCCATTTTTAGCGCCCTTTTTTCTTTTTTTCAACTCTCAAACCCATTATTTTCATCAATAAAATAATATCAAGGCACATTTTGGCGCCCCTAACTAGCTGGCGCCCGGGGACATCTGTCCCCACTGCCCCCACCGCGCTACGTCTCTGGCCATGTGTTTTATTTTCTGATGGCAGTCTTCAGCTAACTGCTTTCAGTTTAATTTCAAATAAGTTTTATGCTGTGGAATTAAATTTATTATAAATATTATTAATGGTGCTGAAAAGGTTTCATTAACTGATCATTTCATGATTGACAACCAACTCTTTGTTGTTTATAATTATTTAAAAACTGAGCCTCGTTGTTGCATCATAAAAATTTCCAAGGCAAAGGGTGATGAAAAAAGATTTTTTTATGATACAAATACAGCTGACAAGGAATCAGTTACTGGCTGTGGTCACTTCTTGTACAGATTTATCGATGATTTGATGAGTGTGACCATTATAAGACGTAAACTAGGAAGAAGAGAGTGGTATGAGGTAGGAAAGTTTCACAAGACTGGAGACATCTCAAGTGTTTTTTGTTTCCAAAATATAATTCTGATTCTTATTTCTGAGAACAATAAAACTGAGAGCACCACCCACTTATTCTATTTTGACACAACATCACACGATTTATAAGGACAAAAAATATTAATGCTACCACATTGTCAACCTTTTTTGTAGATGGCAAAATATATATTTTACAAGAGAATGGTCAACTATGGAAAGTCATCAGAGATTCCTCTGTTAAAATTAATTTATGGAAAAAATTTGAGGATTTTAATCTGAGAATTTTCGGAGCTGTTGTACACAACTATTTTCTATTTATTTTCTGTGACTTACAAAGTGTAAGTGCTAAGCAGTCCTTGCCAAATGCTTGCCCCTTTGGCACTATTAAGTTTGTTCATACTTTCAAGGTAAGCAAGAAATGTCACTACATACATGTCCCCAAAGTCTGGTTAACAGATGAAATATGAAATTTGAAAAACAGTAAATGCTGAAATAGTTAAGGAAAGCTAAGACCTATTAATTATAGAGGTCAATACTATTTGTTCTGTCTTATTTCTTACAAATATTTCTGTATATTTAAAGCCTACACAGGAATTATGAAAGATCATGCTTTAGAATTATATTCTCTGAAATATTCTATCTATTGGTTGTAAACGGATTGAATTATAAATTTACAATATCCAAATCATGGATGACCTAAAACTAGAACAATAATAAAATCAACTTTTTTTTTCTGACCCTAGTCAACCAATACAGTTTCTTTTAAATTTAAAATCAAACAACTCCTAAAAACAAAGTTTTCCATATAAATCCTTTATAAAATGTTATATCAAGCAAGGACATAAAAGTAAGGGGATATAGGACACCCTTGTCTCACTGATCTGTTATTTTCATTGTCTTTAGAAAGTGTATGCCCTATTGTCTATTATATGATTACTAATAGTAATAGGTACACCATATAAAATTGTAACCCAATTACAAAAATACTCCCCTAGTTTGTTGTGTATAGTTTATAATATTTTGTGTAGTTTTGTGTTGTCTAACCCAGGCCTGCACTATATACGGGCTGCATGCAGCCCGCCAGCACCCACTTTGCGGTCTGTGAAGTAAAGAAATATTCTTTATAATTTTTATTTTCTTAATAGCTGTCCACACTGTCTTATTTTCTTTCGGCCTGCACAAGATTTTAAAAAGTAGTTACGGCAAACCTTACATTTTGAGTTGTGCAGGTGTGGTCTAACCTATCAAATGAGTTTTCCTGATCTTGTAATAGTAATATGCAAGTTTGAATGTTTTTGTCCTTTGAATATTGAATGAGGTCTCTATTAAAATTATTGTGTTATTGTCATTACCTGCCCTTGATGCTGCATTCTTGGTTCGCATGTATTGGGGTGTTTAAAAGTAGTTTTAATTTATTGGCTTATGTTTTTGTGAGCATTTTATAGTATTTTTATATAAAGGTAAAGTTCTGTGATTTTTAAATTGTATTCTATGTCTTTTTTTGGGTAAAAATGTGATCTATAAAGTATTCATTGAGTGTGGTAACTCCTCGTTGTAAGATTCTTCTAGGGTTGTGTGTAAACTTGATCCTAGCATTGTGAAAATGAAAGTGTTAAATTTTTTTGTTAGGCCATCTGGTCCGAGTGTTTTTTTTGTTGGACAGTGATTTTTGCTGTCTGCTAATGTAATGGTTTTATCCATTGCTTGTGTTTGATTTTCATGCAGGTTTTGTGTAAATTGTTTGCACTTGTCTTGTGTATCTGAGTCCGTTTGTTCTGTTTCAAAAAGTTTTGTGTAAAATTTTGATAAAGTCCTAAGTACTCAGGAGTGCGTTATCCCTTCTGTGTCTATGATTTGTCATATCTGTCTGCTTGTTTGTATGTTTTGTTCTATAGTTAAAAAATTCCTTGTAGGTGCTTCTGAGATGTTGGTGAAAGTTCTACATCTAATTCTAACCTGTGCACCTTTGTATTTATGTTGTATTTTTTCTAGTTCGTCTCCTAATTCTTGTATGGGTGGCTGAATGGATTGTTTTATTTATACGTGGGTAAGAGTATTTTAAATTCCCCTTCACTTTCTCTGAGTTGTCTCTGTGTGTTGCAAAGATTTGAGTGTCTCATCTATATGATATCTGTACTATTCCTACCCCTTTAGTGTCTACCTAAACTAAAGTGACTGTTTTTCATGTGTACATTTGTGCTTCATGTTCTGTTTATGTTTTTCTCTTTAAAAAAAAAATTGCATTTGTGCTTTTTTGTGTGTCTAGGTTGCTTATGTGTTGTTCTTTGTTTCTACAACTTCTAATGTTGACTTCTTCTACTTTAAGAATTACAAACTCATATTAAAAAGTAATGTTACTTCTTCTACATTGTCAACTTATAAAGTTGGTGACAAATTGTACATTTTATTAAAAAATTGTGCACTATTAGTAGGAATATGGGACGTTTCCAGAAATAATAATAATAATAATAATGAAGTTCATTTCAAAAACACGCTTCATCCCCAAAGGCTCGAAGCGCGGTACAAAGTCAACGAAATACAAATCTATAATTTACCACATTTAAAATAAACGCAACACTCCAAAAACTAATTACTAGCATACAATTGCAGAGTCTTTCTAGCCATTTCAACCCCAAGCAACACAGCCATTATGCATTAACTGGAAAATAAGGTTGACAATCATCCCAGAAGGTGTTTGCGAAATAGATGTGTCTTTAAATCTGTTTTAAAGGACTCCAGTGTCTGATTGTTTCTGAGATCACAATGACTCATTGGAAATTCTAATTTTAATCTGAGTATTTTAGGGGTTTTGTACACAACAATTCTCTTTTTAATATTGTGCGAATTAAAAGTTGGTTTGCTGCCCTGGTAACAGTTTGCTCCCTTGGGGCTATTATTATTAAACATGTTCACAATTCTTAGTTTTAAACAAGAAATGTCAAAACATGCATGTGCCAAAATCCTGGTTAACTTATAAAATATTCACAGGGTAGGGTTGGAAAAGGGATAGACTTCTTTACAAAAGACAAATCCAGTTGTGCTTGTTTCTACCAAAAAATACTTTACTATAAGAATATCTGCAGCTTTACATAATAATAAGACTTATGCAGAAGCTTACTTACAAATAATGGTCTTGATAGTTTTGTATTTTACTTATTGACTGAAAGTGGGTGACTTATAATTTATTATCATTTAACAATATGTTACTGTCAGATACCAGTATATAAAAAAATATGTATGCATATTTTAATGAATGAAATATGCTTTATTAATTTTTTTTACTATTCTTTGTTTGTATTTTCTACTTCATTTATGCATTGTTCCAAAATTTAAGGTAAAATAAAAATGAATAATTTTTTTAAAACTTAGAAAAACAAATATTAAGATTAATGTAAATTATCTTCTGATCATCTTGTATCTTATACTTATGTGTATACTTATGATCTGCATAATTATATTAAAATTTTTTGTCAACCCCTTCACCAGATGAGATATTACATGACAACAAAACAAGAGGTCAAAACTTTTAACTTCAATGTCATATTTTATTGAGTAATAAGGGGAGAGACAGCAATCAGATTAACAAAAAAGGAAATGAGTAAAAGAAATTATGGTCAAACCTGAAAAAAAGGAATGCAATTAACAACAAACGTGTCAGCAAACGTGTTTTGTTTTGTTGCGTTCCTTTTTTCATAAAAATGTGTTTCAATATTTTACAATTGATCAATAAAAAGAACTAGAAATTTCAGGGTATTGGCAACTAAATGTCTCCACTGAACTTCCTTAAACATAACACTTCACAATAGTTATGATTTGACTATATTAATACTATTACATCGCAAATAAAAATTTAATATATTCCTTTAAAGAAAAAGTCCTTGAATGTATGGCACTAAGAAATATATTGTTTTTTTTTTTTTGTAGGGCCTAACTATTTGTCCTTTATACCATAGCACTGCATATCATTGGTAGTTCCCTTCAAGAAGATAGTGGATGCTTTCTTCTGAGGTTCTGATTCTGATAGTAACCACAAATGTAACCTCCTAAATTTTTTATTACTCACGTTTACATCAAAATAAAATTAAAATAATTTGTAATCACATTCCCTTTAATAAATTAATAAATCAAAGAATATTTATTTTTGATATATATGAAGTTGTGAGTATGAAGCTGATGAATATGAACTTTCCATGGTCACTGACAGTTGCGGATGTGAGTTCTCTGTTAGCAGAGGTTTTTTCTCAGTGTCTCTGTAACTCTTATGTAAAAGAGATGACTCTTGGTCTTGGTGCTGATGGTTGTCACTGAGAATACTGTTGTGATTTTTGTGATGTCTGCGCAAATATCTGATCCCAAAGAAAATTGACGTAACTATCATCTGATAGAATAAAAAAAATTCAGTTTGCAAGTGAAAGCAAATATTAATTTATTGACAATAAAAACTAATTATCCTTTGTAACTTAGAGTTTAAATAGAAAAGAAAATACTTTATTATCTTTATAAATTAATGTAACTTCAAAATATGTACATATAAGTAAGTGGTAGTGATGGGACGATTAATCGGAATCGTATCGGAATAATCGAAATATCGGGATTTTTCCAAAGCATCCGGAATTGGTATCGGAGCTGAATAATTCAGACCCAATTCCGATACCAAAACGATTCGTAACTGATTAACTGCCGTAAGCTGGTGACAGCTCAAAGTTTGTTTCATGTATAAAACCTTTCCAAGACATTGTTATCTAGCATATTGTAATAGCAAGTTAATAAACTTTTCTAATCAATTCTCAACTTTTATATTAATTAAATATGTTAATACCTGGGCACAGCAATACATATATGTAATAATGGCCAGGAATCGGAATCGGGATAATTGGGGAGAATCGGAATCGTGTCGGAATCGTTAACATTTTTGGTATCGTCCCATCACTAGTAAGTAGGTTTTAGCCAGATTGGTGGGGGCATCAAGGCCATTAATATTTATAAATGAAATAGAATATATCATATTATTTTGAATCAAAATTAAATATACCACAAACAGGTATAAAGCAGCTATGATTGTAGATCCATTATAGAAACCAATCTCATCTACAAGAGCACCACCTATAGTTGGTCCAATGAAGGCTCTAGAAATAAAGTAGTGGGAAGTTCATAATGATGGGGCTGACAGTGGGTTTCACATAAGCAGTAAGCAAAGATATTTTAGAAGACACATTTTTGTGTAAGAATATTTCTTTCTTGAATAAGGGTGTTTTTTTCACTCAATTTTTTCTTATTTCGTTCAATTAGAGCTAGACATTGGAATATATTCTTTTAGGTGTCTGTGAACCACAAATTGGTATTTCTAAAATATCACCAGATGGCAGTTAATATGGAGATATCAAACTCCCACCCATGGCAAAAAGCCTTAAAGTTAAAGGTAGAATCCAAGTCAAAGTAGTTAATTTAAATTTATTTATAATCTATTATTTTTTAAATTAGATTATATTGATATTGCCCTAATTCTCATATGGTACATTGAAATTCAAAGGAATGCAAAAAATTATATCATTATAATTGTTGACAATACTGACCCTAAGCAGAACGTAGAATTGAAGAGACCAGATACAAGACCAAATGTGTTTAGGCCATCGGGAAATCCAAGTTCTCTGTAACATGTTTAGACAATAAAATATACAGTCTTCCATAAGTTGGATCATTTTTATCGTATAAAAAATACACAAATTAACACAAGAAAGATATGAAAAGTCACTTCATGTTTAAGCATAAATTCTACATGAAGCAATGTCAAAGATGTAAATTAATCCGTTTAATACCAACATTTTTTTTTTCATTCTAGAATCTCAGCCATTAAAAAAATTGGGGGTTAAGGGAAAAAAAAAAGAAAATTGTTGATTCCACTTTAAAACTACTATTTAGTTTATTTTTTTTAAAGTCAAGAATCAGTAAAAGAAATGATTGATCTTTGAATACCAACCTTGCACCTATGACCAGGCATTTCATTGTGGGCACAATAGAACAACCTATTGTAAAGCCAAACAAGATTAGCCCAAGAGTGGAAGTCCACAGCTCTCTGTTTGGGAAACAAAATTTAAAAGTTGAAGGTAGAAGAAGCATGATGTATGTAAATACATCTATTGGTGATAATAAATCTACTACCTATTCTTTATTCCAATTTGAAAATGAGTAAGACAAAATTTAGCATAAATTTCAAAGTCTTGAAATAAATTGGAAGAATTTAGTAAAGAAAAACTAAAAAAGATTATGAGAAATTCAAAGAACTTAATGCATTAAAAAAAAACTAAAAATACCTTTATACAAAAAACACATAAAAACACATTGTTCAGTTTATCAGTAATGAAAAGAAAAACAGAACAGCAAATGGTTTCCTCTCTCTCCACACCCCCCATTCCCCAATCATTGTTCATAATAACTAATTAAAGATACCTGAGATATGTGTACACATGTCAAAAATCTCTTGTTCACTTACCTAGGCAGAAATGGCAGCAAGGGTGTTGGTCCCACAAACAAGAAACCTATTGCACAAACCAAATTGCCAGTTATGAGTAAGGGAGATTGAATATCCTAAGAAGAAATGGAATAAAATTCATAGTAATGTTTTTGTAGCCTTCTACTTCTAGTTAAACATAATATTTTTAAGACATATTAAAATTTATTACACAGTAAGTACACATTTTGAGGTTTGTACAGAATTATGTACCAGTGTGTAGAAAGGTTTATTTGAAGATATACTAGATTTACTTTAGAATTTAGGTTTGAATGTAACAAACAAAAATTATCTTCTATCTGAAAAGACCGATTTTTTCTTTTGTTCTGCAGAATACAATAATTTATCTGAACCTTAGATCTGTCCCTTATAAGACCAAAATAGAAACCAACCATTACCTTTGTATCACTTATGTATCCCCATAGTGGTGCCATAACAGCATGCAACCCAGGTGCAATGACAAAGAAAAGGCCAACACTCAAAGTGGACAGTCCAAACTATAATTAAAACATGGTGCAGAATGAGTTGGTGTACTTATTTATTTGAATTTAATGCCACATTTAAAAGTTTTTTAGATTAAAATGAAATATAAATAATAATAGCACAAACTCAACAAACTGCATCTGATAAATGCTAAGCATGTTCAAGACATAGTCATCTTGCTTTTCATTTTCATTTAAATACCCAGTAAACATTTTGATGCAATAAAACAAAATAGTAACAAATATTATATTATTTGTCAAGTAGCACACAACATTTTAATGGTATAGAGTAACAGTTACATTATGCTAAAAATTTTTGTTTGAAAGAAATTGAGCATCCTACAACATACAAAATCATATAGACATCACAATTTTGAATTTTAATACATATTTTAAATAAGTACATTACATCATCTTTAAATCTATCATAAAGAGGTTGATTGCTTATTATGTCCAATTATTGTAAATGAGATGATCATAATATTATATAGGTATGCTTAGCATGGACCAGATTTACTACCAATTATTTTCTTCTGTTAAGTTTATTACCTGATCCAGATGATCTGACAATGTTGGATCCAGGTAAGCAATGCCACAGGCACCAACTAGGATAGATAAAAGGGTAACCCACACCATCATACTTCTCAAAAGGGAGAAAACTGAGCCCTTTCTTGACAAATTGTTATCTGTGTTAAATAGAAACATGCAGAAAATGTCACAACAGATCAGAATTATTTACATTTTTTATAAATAAAACAATGATTTGAAGCAAAATGTTTATGAAGTGTCTATTCTAAAATAAATTGTGGCTGTCATTCACCTTGAGGTTTAGGTAAACAGGTACATATTGCCAGGCCACTGGCACAGATAATGACACCAATCAGCCAGAAAGGCAAACCAAATCCTCCAAACTGTTGATGTATAAGATGGAGGCAAAGTGTTATTGATTTACTTGTTATCAATGGAGTTTTTTCAACAACAAACATACATATAAATTTATAATGTTTACAAGGAATATGTCTATACAAAATAATCATATTGAAACAGATAAGTCCAGTCCTTTCAAGTTGATCAAAAGTTCTTATTACTTTCAGGTACCTATTTGAAGAAACAGCATTTCACTTATGTATCATGTAAATCGTCTAATTGTGGATATCATCATAGCTAAAGCACTTAACATATTTTTAGATTCAATTGTGAACTTTTTAAAACTCAAGTGGTACTTTTTATAGCCAAAAAACATAAATTTTTCCCCCAGTTTTACTTTTGGTCATACAAAATTAAAGAAAACAAAAATTAGGCCATTTCTTTTAAAGGGTGGATATATAATATTACCTGATAAAGCGCTCCACCAATCGTTGGTCCAATCATTAATCCTATACCTATGCAAGTTTCCAGTGTGGCCTAAAAGTAAATGTACTTTGATACACAATTCAGTGAAATAAATTATGATAAATTATAAAGATTTTAATCCCATTAATTATAACTTAATAACAAAATAGTTATATCTTTATGTGTTTAAATACACAAACAAATTTTTTTCTTTAACAGAATAATTCCGCTGGAAAATTATTTTTTTAAATATTTTTTTTTTAAATGTACTAAAGTACCGGTAACTAAATTGTTTGTTTTTTTCTTTTACATTTTGAAATGATATAACTTATTTTGATCAAATAATATTTTACCCTTTTGCTTTGACCCTAATCAATAAAATCAATTGCAGTGTAATTAAAGACATTAAAGCTGAACTTACAAATACTGAGCCAATGTGGTTAGGAAACTCGTTGGAAACTATGGCAAAACTGGCTGTTGAGAAGGCAGAGACACCTAGAGCTTCCACCATTCGTACAACAAATGACATGACAATAAAAATTACTCCTGAAGGGCCCTGGTCTAGAAACCTGATGGATATTTCATGTTGATGTCAAATTGTTAAGTAGATCATCTGATAATCAAATCAAATAATGCAACATTACTAGGGTACACTCATCTTATCAGTAAAGCTAGTAATACAGACCAGCATACATTTTGTAAAAGTTTTTTTTGGCATATAAAACAATAGCACAATGATAACCTACCACATGCAATCTGTCTCTTCCTTTATTTTTAATATCATTTTTATTTTATTTCAAATTAAAAATGTATAGTAAGATTAAGATTTGTATCAAAGACATGGTAAAGTGTGGTTTAAAATGATTGCCAAGAAGTGGATTGAAACTCCCAAGCTGAAAGACAATTTTCTTTTGGAATAAATCAAATAAAATATTTGAAAAATGTGAAACTAAGATACAGACTTATTTTTTTAAAAAGTAGCAAACATAATGAATAATAATGATAATATTTCAGATAGGAAAATAAATCATACTTCTCTGATAAGAAATTCCTATTAGAAAGAAGTACAGAGTAAATTAAATTTCCTTAACATTTCTATAACAGCTGTTTATCTAAATGCTCAGAGCTGAAAATGTGATAAGAGCTTAAATAACAAGTGTATGATAATAAATTACTGGCTTTACCCAAACAATATGGTACAAATTCCAGCAACCAAGATCCCAGACACATACAGAAACTTGGCACCAATCTGGGTCAACTAATGAGGTTAAATTAACAAAATTAAGATAAAATAATTTTTAATTTTTTAAAGTCAGAATTAGATTTCATGGCTACTGATACAATTGAAGTTTTCTAAAGTGGTACAATAACATTACTAACAATATTATATTCAAAGTGTAATTTACATTACCAGGTACCTACATGACATAATGAAAATTGTGTTTTACAAATTTATCTAGGGCATTCTACATAAATTAAACCAAGCAAATTTTAGACTGTGTAATTTTAAACTTCCTCATAAAACCAAAGCTGTAAAGACATGCAGTTTAAATTCTGTTTCTACAATATTACTTAACTTTTTTTATTGTTACTATTGAACTTACATAATTACCAAACATGGGACAAGCTATAAAGTTGACAAACTGGTAGCAGCTGAACACAAGTCCTATTGATGTTTGTGAGGCTCCTTTCTTGGTGGCCTGTTAGATCATAACAAGACGACAAGCATTTAAAAATAAAAGATTTAGGACCAGACATATCTTAACTTTTCTCATAAAATTTATAAAAATAATTTTTGTAATTTCAGCTAGCATAAGAAAGTTATGAGAAATATAATTCTGTGTTTAAACCATTTTTTGACTACTGGTATCAATATACATAGTTTGAGAGCAACTTTTAAATAAAATAAAAATTAGGACAATTTACATGAAGTCTAAACAGTTGTTTAATATGTTAAAGAAAAAAAAATAGTATTAGATTGTGGAATGGAAAAGGGTTTTGGAATCTACAGTTAATAAGAATCTCATCTAAGACAATACATTTTAAAAAAAAATTCATATTTAATCAATTTAAAAAAAAATTGTAACAAAAGATACTAGAAATGAATAAGATAGTCCTGAGCTAGTGGAATGTAGAACTAGTGGACAGGGGATATGGTCTGCTACAGTCATAATACACAACCATTGTCCTGGTTTCATCATCATTAGATTTGAGGCAAATTCTGTTACATTATACTTGCTTAATATGTGTAACACTTCCAACACTCAATTAAAAAAAAACAAAGATTTAACTTTAAGTCTTTTCAAAAACCTTTTGTTAACCCACATGAACAATGTTAAGTCTCCCCGTATGCCATACTGTATACTACTTGTTTCCCCTATTAAGAAAAAGTAATTTTAAGCAGTTTCCCCACGTTTTACACATCATATCTTTGCGAGTCGTTTGAATCGAACAAGATTTTAAGGAACTTAATAAGATCTGTACATTATGTTTAAATTAAAAAAAAGAAAAAAAAAAAGAACAGAAACAAGGGAGGGAAATTTAATAAATTAAATACAATAAAGGGAGAGAATTTGTATTTATTAAATCTATGATCATGTTAATTTTTAATGAAAGGTTCTAATTTAAATGAATACAACTTATAAAATTACCATTTGATTTTGATTCTTTTAAATCAAAACGTAATAAAATAATCAATAATTTATTCATGCAGCTACTGAAGTTTCAATTTTAGTATTTTTATTAGGAATATTTTGTGAAGCATAATCCCCTTTTAACCGCCTCCCTTATATAAACAATAAGAAAAACGTACCTCTCTCGGAAAAAATGGTGCTGGTAGGGAAAATCCACACCCAGCTCCAAAATTTGCAATAGCCAACATCAACAGCGTGTATTTGCTCCGGCCTGACATCTGAGAAAATTTAAACCGTACAACTTCTTTTTTATGTTCGATTCCAGCGTTCCCATCATGCTTTGTTCTGTTACTTTCACCTTTATCTTGAAGTCTCGTGTGTCCAATTTTTTCATACTTCGTTCCATAATTATTATTAACGTAAACGCCATTCGGAGATTTTGTAAAGTTTCTGTCCTTGGTGTGTGAGAAATTTGTTTCGTCGACCAAGTTGTTGTGTCCCAGGCCCAGATGATTCGCAAAACGCCTGTCTTCGGCTTGTAGTTTCAGACGAAGCTGCGGTGTTCCGTTTCCAACTCCTGCTCGATGCCCACCAGGATTAATGTCTGTTATATAAGATCCGGACTTCGTCAAGTAGTAAGTTGTTGACGAGATAAACGGGTGAGCCCCAGAATCTTCGTTTGTCATTGTAAACGAATTCTTTATCTAGAGCTTTCACTTTAACTGTTATCAGTGATCTGATCAAGGATTCAAGCATCAATTGTGAGCTGAAGGATAAAATCATGAAAGTCTATCAAATATTATTTTTTTAAGTTACAAATTTAAAATGTAGGCTACTCTTTTATTTTAGCAACTTAATAAAAAAAAAAGTTTAATTCTAAATTTTGTTTTAAAGAAATTTAAAAAAAAAATTGGGTGGCGTTTTCGGCCAACTGCTGAGTTTTTCGTTGTGTGAGAGCGGCCAAAATCTTGGCAAGCCCCGGGTAGCACTAAGCCCAGTGGTTGGCAAATCGCGTCTCGCGAGCCGCATGTGGCCACAAATCGGTTTTGACTCCGAAAAACATGGTTCTTGACAGCGTCTTGAAAAGAAATTTGGCTCGCAAATATTTTAAAATCGTCTTGCTGCTGATTTTTGGCTCTTTTCACTAATGAGTTTGCCGACTACTGCACTACGCCACTCATAAATGGAAAATTAACAGATGGCCGTAAACACGAAAATTTAATAACGAAACACTTGTCACTAGAAAATATCCAGCTGAGAAAAGATCCACTGTGTTAATAAAAACTTGATTCGCCTGAGGCATTTCGTACTAAAGAAATTAAACGAAAGCCAAGTCACAACGTATAAAGCCTATTATACTAACTATTTAAAAGTTAAAAAAGAATAAACTTATATATTAAACACACATGGAGATTCAGAGTCGGTGATTAATCAGCAGTTTAAATAATAATATTATTAATAAATGAAAATTTCGGGAATTTTGAACTACTTGTTAATAGCGTCAGTTGCGACCATTGAGATTATCAAATATTTCTAGACGCCGATATTTGCTCCATACCATAATGGCTGAGGGTGATTTTTGTTTTACGATAATCAATCTTATTTCATGAATGGCTGTGTCTCACGTTGATGTAGAGGGATTAATTGACCATAGATCAATAAGCAATCGAAGTTGGAATCAATATATCTTTTTGTTGCAGATAAAGTAAGTCATATGTTCGCCCGTTCCAATTCCCCCTTTCACTGCAGTGGCATCACAAGGGTTGATGGCTCCCAGTGCGGGAAACCCACGGTGTTATCCCCTTCTGAGTCTCCATTCTCTGGTGACACCCAGTTCTTGTGACACCCTCTTCTCTATTTTACTTAGATCTTTTATAAAACCTAGTCGACGGAGCTTTGTCAACTGGCAATTTTCCATTTAGGTGCAATCCCCTGACATGATATTACCCCTAGTGACGCTACTGCTTCAAGCTAATAATTGATGTAATGATATTTTAGGCCTAAACATTTTATTCGTGTTACCACATCGATAATGAGTTCGTTTATTTAGAAAGTTTAGCAACAACAAAAATCGTGGAACCATCCGAGGCCTGGGAAAACGGAATGACAAACCACAACTCTTATAAACGTTAGACTATATATTTATATATATAAACATACGTTCAACGGATAATTTACACGGTCAGCTCACTACACTTCAAGTCACCGTCGATCTGTTTTGATAAGATTTTGACGTGCATCGATGTCAGAATACTCACTTTACTATCAATGAAACTTCAAGATGCAAAGCGCGCAGCGTGGTCAATCCAAGTGCCCTTGTATCAAGTCCGGTAACATCATTCCAACCAATGTGCGCCGTATAGTATGGTCATTCTGCCTGTGTCATCCCATGACGGACCACGGTCTGTTATTTCAGGTGAGACGAATTTGTTGGTCTCTAGTGACCCATCCCCCACAAGGCTGTTCACTCATTAGACACATGAACGCATTGCAGAGATGAGGTTTGTTTTAAATACTAACATGCGTGTCTGCAAACGGTAACGTGTAACATACTCTTACAATTTTCATCCATACAACATATAAAAAGGGTTTGTGAACGAAATTTCTGAGATTTAGTTCCAACTAGAAAGTAGACCCAAATTTGACAATAAAACAATATTATTCTCGTTAACAAAGACATCATGACTCCATGACCGCCAGCATCTCTTAAGACAAACAGCTACTTTTATAGGTGACATCAGAACCGGGTAGCCAGGTTTTGACGTTGGCCCGGGGAGGGGGTGGTGGTTCTATTTTAAAAAAGAAGGCCCACACACCAAAATAAAAGCGTAACCCATTAGAATAATGTTAACATTGTATGTGAAACACTTGAATAGCCAACATGTGGGGAACGCTGCATCAGGGGAACATAACAACGCAGGCCTTGGGTAAACTTCCGCCCTGTGCGAAGCACCCGTTCGGCGCCCCCTTCCTTGTAATGGCTCCGCTCTTTTTCCGATTACGACGTAGGCTATGGGAAGCACGTTTTATGATGCTATACATGTAGCTAACCTTACGCATTTTAACATGCACATTAATTTAGACTGTTTAGTTTTTCTACGATACTTTGTTCCATTTCCACACCACCTTTGGGGTCGTCCATAATCTCGACCTCGGACCCAAGGTTCACACTTCACTATAATAAACCAAGGGAATTAAAATATTTCCTGGGCGCCCCTATGACCACGGCGCTCTGTGCGAGGGCACAACTCGCACACCCTAAAGGCCGGCGCTGAATGTAATGCACAGACGTACCCAACAAGTTGTGGTTACTAGTGGGAGAGCAGCCAGCATTGGTTACTAGTGGGAGAGCAGCCAGCATTGGTTACTAGTGGGAGAGCAGCCAGCATTGGTTACTAGTGGGAGAGCAGCCAGCATTGGTTACCAGTTGGTCAGCAGCCAGCATAGCCGCACATCTATTCGTGTATTCGTCATTTTGTTTTCATTGCCTATTTTTTTTCTTTTTATCCTCAGTGACATCACTCGGGTTGGCTTCACCCAGTCTGGCAAGAGGTCGTTCATAATGGACGTCCACAAAGATTGGGGGCGGGGTTCAAATGTGGGGGGCTTTGAACAAAGGGATGAAATGATCTAGCGGACGTCCGCAGAGCTAGCAGTTTAAGAAATAATCTTGCTTTAGTGCATGCATTTTTAAATATTTTGAATTGCGGAAATCCAAAATAGCTGATAAATTTTCGAAATAATTATGATATTAAACTACCAGGAATTTAGTAAAAACTTCATGGAGACCATTAAAAATATTCGGTTGCTGTTTATCAACAAAGTTCAGGGTTTTGATTTTCCTCACAATAATTCTAAGATCTGATTGATTAAGTCAAATGCTTTAAGTTATCAGAAAGAATCAGAAGCTACATCTAGTGACCTTGCTCTTTATCGTCGTTATTATGCTTCCTGGCTTTTCGCACCGTATAGACCCGCTTACCGACATCCGTAACCCGACACAGGGGGGGGGGGAGTGCGGACAAGCGGCCGTATCTGGCCCGCGGTTATCAGAAAGAATCAGAAGCTACATCTAGTGACCTTGCTCTTTATCGTCGTTATTATGCTTCCTGGCTTTTCGCACCGTATAGACCCGCTTACCGACATCCGTAACCCGACACAGGGGGGGGGGAGTGCGGACAAGCGGCCGTATCTGGCCCGCGGGTCGTAAATTGAAGAACTCCCGGTGTAAACACGCAATCTTTAATAATGAGAATATAATATCTAATTTTTTGGTAGGAACTACAGGTGGTTCACTTCTTAAACCATGGATTCAGTAAGAATCTTATGTTAAATGATGGCATCACTCAGAAGAAAGATTCCATTCTTCACCAGAAATATTTAAGTGGACATTATCTTGTTAAAGAGATTTTTTTTTTTTAAAGTAGAAAAGGATTCACATGAATGGCTCATATTTTATTTGGAATATAATCCACGTCTTTAAAAAAAAAATAAAGTTGTGTCTGTGTTGTCTAGCAAGGTGAGATGTCGTATGGATCTCATGTAACCGTAGGATAGGACCTTTGAAAAAAAAACGGCATAGTTATTCGCAGTCGGCTTGGAATACCGTTGAGCTAGCAGCAGTAAACCGTTTTCATTTACCGGTTGGGCGTTATTTCAGCAGGCTGTGTAAAATCGGCTTAAATGTACCTACATGTCACAGGCAAGAGCTGTTTGCGCATGTTTGGGTTTGTTTTTTTTTTGGGGGGGGGTGTTGCTGAGGGTAGGTTTTATAGTAGTTAGTTCTTGTACAATAGTTAATAACGACATTTCATGCAACATGTACATCTGGCACAGCTGCTCCCACGGCCGTGCTAGTATCGAGGTGATCATGTGTAACAAGAGAGCTCTACAATTTGTCTCGGTCACACACACAGTAATCACTGAAACGGCGCTTGTGGGGCTTCAATAGGAGTGTCACAGATGAAGAATGCCTTCATTTAAATTATAACCATGCCATCAAATGATGCAGCATTTTAACTAGGGAAATCTAGACTAGTTAATCTTTTATTAGTTTTACACTTAACACGTGACTAAAACACTTCGCATGTTCTTATAACTTTACAAAAGATTGATTATCTAATTCAAATTTATATACACTATTTTTTAATATAAGTTACGATAATTTTATAGATCCAGATAAATGGAAATTAGTTTAAAAAAAATATATATTGCACATATTGTTTTCAGTCTTTAAAACTTTGAGAGTTTTGGTTGTTCCCAAAAATTGGTCTGTAGCAAGGTGTTTGCTTGGTGAATCATTGTGGTCAGAATAACTGTGACGTGTGTAGGTTTTTGGGCTTGGGGGTACATTTTTATACCGGGTACTGTCACTGTAGATATCAGAACTATTTTATGCTGTCACTGTAGATGTCAGAACTATTTTATACTTTCACTGTAGATGTCAGAACTATTTTATACTGTCACTGTAGATGTCAGAACTATTTTATACTGTCACTGTAGATGTCAGAACTATTTTATACTGTCACTGTAGATGTCAGAACTAACATAAAATTAAAATGATTTTGATTTTAAAAAAAACTATAAACAAAAGGCTCTTACATATATTTCGAGACTTTCATTTGTTTCATTATTGTGAGGTAAAAGATCAAACCGTGAACACAGCCACCATTCGTTTGATTGTTGTGAGGTAAAAGATCAAACTGTGAACACAGCCAACATCTGTTTGATTGTTGTGAGGTAAAAGATCAAACAGCAAACACAACCACCATTTAGTAAAACAACACAACACATAAAATACAAAGCCACTGTTTACATTTGTCTGTAAGGGACACAATTTTTTTTAATGTTCGCTTGGGACATTTTGTTTGCTACAAAACTGTGGCCACGAGTCCACACACCTATATATAGATACCGTTTTTATATAGATATCTTGTAATGATACCAGCACAACATTAACAGTCTTGAGAGACACATTTAGTATATACAATAGCAACAAAATAAACTAACCATTCAGACAAAACCATGCAGCAACATTAACTAATGTGCTTTATAAAAAAATTAAATCACACATGTGTGTAGACAAATGTTTACATACTTGTTTCATGAACCAGCTCCCTCTGACTGCCATATCAACAGAGTTGGATGAGTGGAAAAATGAGAGTCAAGAAGGGAGATAACAATTTTTAAAAAAAAAGCTCAAAAAAAACCTATGATTGTTGCTCTTTTGTTTAATGAATTACTGTGGCAAAACAAATTTGAAAAAAAAAATGAATATAACAAAAATTAATTTTGGAAGTGAAACAAAAATAGCTGTGTTTAATAGGAGTCACCCTTGATGTCAAACATGGATGGTTAACTGTTAAATTCTTTTATATTTAGTTCTAAGTGTGTTTAAATTAAAATTGTTGCCAACATTAAAAAAAAAAAAATAATAACAAAACATGATGAAATGAATAGCCGTACAATTATCAATTTTTTTTATGAAGATACAAATGATGGATATATAAAGTCATGTGATTAAAAGGTAGCAATCTTTAATCATTCTTACCAAAACTTAGTAAGTAGCTGATGTAATCTGACTCTATTACATACAGTTTGATTATTGATAGCATGATGAAAGCCAATCTTTAGTTAATCCAAATTACCAATCTGAAGTTTATTTATGGACCTAAATGTTTTGGGAACAGGACAATCACATTTCACAAATAATTTTTTTTGGTGTACAAAAACTAATACATAATTTTTTTTTTAAATTAAAAAATTTGGACATAAAAATAAAATAACCAATTTTTTTTTTTTCTATCCATTTTTTAATCATATTTTTGAAAAATAACCAGACCTAGCAAGGGGAACAAACTAAACATAGGGGAGATAACCGGATCTATATCAAACAGTCAAGTGGTATAAAGTTATAAACATATAATCTCTTGGAACTGTCATATGCAACTATGGACACAAACAAAAGCATGCCAGCATGCTGGGACAAGTAATGACACAATCTGTACAGTTCATGGGAGAATGATGAATACAATTACCTATCTATTGTGTCTTACTACGAAAATACCAGAGAAAATGTAATTAATTAATGGAAATTGTGAGGGAAACTACCAAGGCATTAAAAAATATTATTTCTGTACATCATGAATGACCGAAATAGTTAACACATGGTACAAATCTGACCAAGAGATTAATTTGATGGCAATCTGTAAATGAACACATCAGACCACCTAAATGTTGGTAAATAGATTGTCAGCCACTCCACAGAATGCGAGAAAGTCTCATTCAACCAACAGTTTGATTGTCTTATTTTAGTTTAATCAAAATTGCCAGTTAACAAACAAAACATTCTTACTGTGGTCAATCAAGGACTTTATAATTT